AAAATATCATTTAGCTTAAAGTTTTTTCTTTGTAATTGAGATAAGGCTATCATTGTTACTCTTCCCTCTCTTTTCCCTAAAGGCTTTTAGTTTTAAAAAGGCACTCTAAATTTTTTAAATTAAGCCAGCATGTTTTAATTATGATTTATGGCATACAATGTGTTAATTATATTTGTTGTGTATATATAATGTATAATGATCAAATTTGGAAATTAGCATTTTCTGTGTTTAGAACTTCAAAGTCCTCTCTTCTAGTTATTTTGAAGTGCATAATAAATTATTATAAAGTACAGTCACCTGCTTACTAGAATTCATTCTTCCAAGCAAAACTGTATTTGCCTATCAGTTGACTCTCTTAATTGGTGAATACCTTCTATTTGCTAGTCAGTACTCTAAAAATTTTATATTCGGATCATAATGTTAAACAAAATAAGCCTGACTCAGAAAGACAAATTTTGCACATTTTCTTTTATATGTGGAATCTAGATTTAAAAAAGAAAAAAAAAAAAGACTTGAAAGTAGAAGGGGACTGTTTGGGAGAGGAAGGAGACCAGTAGTAGGAGAAAGTAGGGACAAAAGAGGGTAATGGGGTGAGTATGATCAAAGTACATTAAATGCATCTATGAAAATGTCATAATGAAAACATTATTGAGTGTAATTAGTATATGCTTATATAAAAAAGAAAAAAGACATGTAGAACCAGGACAGATAGTAATTTGGCATTTTGCCAAAAGCTCAAATTTGAATCATCCTACCATGGCGTTACACAACAGTTAATGAGTAGCCATCCTGACCACTTGTCACACACATTTCAAGGTGATTGTGGTAGTTATATACTTTATGGGGAGAGCGTAAATGTTATTATCTTTAATAATATTTGAAATACTGGGTTCAAAATATCAGTAAAATTTTACTTTCATATATAATCACACCTCTAACATAATTCAGTAAACTGTAAACTTTGTACATTTTCAACAGTTCTTTATATCTAAAGCATTTTTCTTTACATTTATCAGAATTCAGAGATGTTTCTTTATATCCATGTTGAGCAATAAAATTATAATACAAGACACAAATGTGATCCACATAATGTAATTTTAATTATTCTAGTAGCTGTCTTTTTAAAGCAAAAAGAAACAGGTAAAATTTATTTTAATAATGCATTTTATTTAACTCACTTATATCATAATACATTTTCAACAAGTAAACTGATAGAAAAATTATGAGATACTTCCTTTTTTGTTTTCATGTTGTCTTTGAAATCTGGTATTACACTTAATGCATGTCTCAGTTTGACTAGCCACATTTCAAGTGTTCAATAGCTACATGTGATTAGTGGCTACTTTATTAGACAGTATAGTGCCATTCCTTCTAGGTTTAGGGAATAAAAATCCAATTTTAATATTAGCCAAGGAAGAATAAAGTTAGAAAGGTAAGACTGCTCTAGAAGGTTAAATTAGATCAGTAGTTTTAATTTACTACTGAATAATTACAGATAATCTCTTGTTCAGGTGGAAACGAATTCGCTTTGACAGGGGTTAATGTTTGGCTTGTTTAGATGTGGAAAAGATGAGAGAGCCCACAATGGCGCTTGTTAAAAAAATCAACCAGCTATTCTAAAATCCTTACTGTGAAAGGTCTCATTCAACTCTTAAGGTTTATTTTACAAAGTATAAGTATTAACTTATAGAAATTTTTTTTTTAAATACTCAAGGTCACCTTTATTTTTTTAGACACTTAAATATCTCAGATAAATAAAGGTCTGCATTTGCCTATGCAGATTTATTCTTACCCTACATGTGTAGGTCTTTTATTCTTTTTTTCCTACTAAATTGTAAATTATTTGAGAGCAAGAGCTATATTTCTGAAGCTAGGACATTCTTGAGAAGGATTGCAGTTTTAAATAGATCATACATGGCAATTAGAAAGTACAGCTGCATTAGTTGGTGTGTTCATAACATTGATTGAACACTTATTGTAGAACCACTTCAGTACTGGTTACTTCAAAAAATGAAGGGATTTATATTCTAAAGGTAAGAGTACATAGTTCAGTGGGAGCCTATATAGTAAGTTTTAGAGACTTGGCTTGTCAGTTCGTTTGTCAGTTATAACCTGTTAAACCTTCACATTAGCCTCTAAAGCACTTCTTAGGCAGAGGAAAATAAAATTACTCATGTTGAAATCTTAAGAACTTTATGAATTTGGAACATTACCAAAGATAAGCACATATAAAAGTTACAGTCCATGCTATTTCTGTTTTAAATTCATCTATAATAAGGAACTGAAATAGAATTTTGGAATCATATCAAGGTAAAAATCTAATTTAATCTACAAAACATAAACTTGATGGTTGCCTGTAAATCACATCCATAGTATGCCTTGGGCTCATTAGAGCAGTTTGTCAACCACGAATCAAAATGTTATTTACTAGTACTTTCCTGAATTCACATCCTATCTACTAGTTTCGATGTGATAGAGTAGGATTCTCATTTTGTTTTGTATATCATAAGATCTCATAGTCTTATGTTATACCCATAAAGCTTGTTGAGCTTGTTGACCGACACAATTAACATGTACTTTCTGTGAATTTGGACTTATGTTTTATCTTTATCCTAAGAAATAATTTTTCCTATCCACATATCTCATATTTACATTCCAATTTTCTAATGTGTGGTATACATTTTTAATTTTTCTACCTAAACATATTTGCATGATTTCTTAAGATAGAGTTATAGATACATAAACAAATTTAAACTTTTAAAGCAAAGACTGTCACATATACCTAGTTTGTGTATTGCATTATATCAACACAATAGGCATTTGATAGATATCAAGTATTTGTAAAATATATGACTTTTATGATACCTTTTATTTCAGATTATATGTGGGTTTCAGTCTCTTACATGTGTTTGTGATTTCCTGCTTCCTTCTCTGGCAGGTGTTATGATGTTACAACTTTTAGAAAGAGTGATTGAATTGGAAAATTGGAAAGAAGGGAAAGGCTCATTGTCCGTGGGGCAAAAAATACTTTCTCATCAGGCTCTGATCTGAATGCTGTGAAGGCACTAGGAACTCCAGAGGCAAGTGTTGTATGAATTTGCATTAGAATTTACATACTTACAGACATCTGTGGCTGAGATATTTGTATTTTACCTGTATGGTTATCATCATAACTCTTAGTTTTTTAATAGCTTTCAAAGAATCAGAAGGTTTGGGGATATTTGTTATATTTTTGGTGTAATTATACAAATGATTTTTAAGGCTTTACAATAGGATATCTGGGAAGGACACTGATTAATGCTTTGAAATTACTAATCTTTCTGGTCTAGAAGAGTGCTGTCAGGTGTTTTTTGGAGAGGAAGATTCTTTTTTGCTCTCGGTATTGTTCCTGCTACTTCCTTCCAACTACTGCTTTTTTTAAAATACATTTTTAAATTTTAGAAGAATTTCATATTTACAGAAGAGTTGCAAACATAGTATAGAATTCCCATATAGTGTATGCCCAGTTTCCCCTGAATTTAACATCTTATATTACCGTGTTTCATAGATTTGTCGTGGTAGAGTTTCACTAGTAGTAAAAATATCATTGTTCATTCATGGGTTATGACCTGGAGAACTATTGTATGCTAGGGCATCTATAGTGAGCAGTGCTTACATTGTGTTCTTTTCATACACATGTGCACACAAATATATGCGCAAGTAATAACAAACAAGATGAGAGAAACCTTTGGGAGTTGGTAGGTATGTCCCAGTCCTAACGGTGATTATAGCTTTCTACGTGTCAACCGTACTTCAATAAAGCTGTGAAAAAGATGAGAGAGAAAAGAAACTGCATGTTTTATTCATGTTTCACTAGTTTTTTGATCAGTGTCCTTTTCTCTGCTTTAGAATTCATATTGGATACCATAATACATTTAGTCATGATTCCTTAGATTCCTGTAGTCTGTAATAGTACTCCATACTCTCCTTATTGTTCCTTATTGTTCATGGTCTTGGCAGTTTTGAAGAGTACTGGTCTGGTGTTTTTTTTCAGATTAGTTTGGGGGTATGGATTTCTGAACAGAAAATCAGAGGTCAGGTGTCATTTTCATCACATCATATTCAGGAACATGGCTTATTGCTGTGGATGTTAACCTTGACCAATGCAGTATTGCCTGGTTTCTCTACTTTAAAGTTACTTTCCACACTCTGCCTTTTGGAAGCAAGTCACTAAGTTTAGTCTATACTCAAGTATTATAAATTCCATCTCCTGGATGAGGGACATATCTATGTCAATCATTTGAAATTCTTCTAAAAACTTTTGTGTCTCCCCCAACACAAATTTATTTGTATTAGCTGTTCAGTCATTTATATGTATCCGTATTCACTCATAGGTATTTTGGATGCATTACTCATTTTATTGCTCAAGTTATTGCAGCTTTAGCCAATGTGAGCTCTTTTAGATTTGTTCTTATCTTTTACTCTTTTGGTTTATTTGAACACTTCTCTTCCTTACTTTCAGTTACAGTAGGATACTCCAGACTAATCTTGTATTTTTCCTGCTGTAATCTTAGAATCAGTGATTTCTCCAGTGAATTCTGGTTATGGAAGATGGTATTAGAGACTAAAATTTGAATGTTAGGTGTCTCTCTTTCAAGTGCATTAAGTATATTCCTGGGTTAGTTGAGCCATGAATATAACAGGATAAATATAGCTTTAAATCTGGTATCTTGGATTTAGCCACAAATTTGCCAGTTAACTAAATGAGAAAGTTAAAGTTGTTCATCCTCCTTGGAGGTAGAAAAACCTATCTCACAGACTTAATCCTCATTAAGTTAGCTGATGTCTACTAAAATATATTGTAAGGTAAGACTATTGTAAGATTTTTAAAGAAGTTGTATAATTTGGTAATATGGATATAATAGATCATCACCTTTCCTCTAGAAGTTGTATGAAATAGTTATTCCATTTGTGATTGTTTTAGTTTTTAAAAAAATTATGATGCAATGGTATGAAGGACTGAAAAAAGGAAGGTTAAGAAGATTAATAGTGACGAAGGTTATCATTAAAATCAGTGAGAACTTAAATTCCTTTAAGTGAAAGCTCCTTAGCATTGCATGACCAAGTAGTTTACTGAGGTTTATGCACAAAGTACCCAGCAAACTGGCACATGATAAACTTCAATACAATATAACAATTTAAAAATATGCTTTTGAATTACCCTGATAACCCTGATAGAGTAGGAATCCTAATCATCCTCCATTATCAGTTCTTCATTAAATCTGTTTTTCTTGAATTCAGCCCATATCCTACCGATAAAAAGATAACAGAAAACAATTCCATTTACAATAGCTCAAAAAAATCAAATACCTAGGTGTAAACCTAACAAAAGATGTGAAGACCTCTACAAGGAAAACTATACACTTCTGAAGAAAGAGATTGAGGAAGACTATAGAAAGTGGAGAGATCTCCCATGCTCATGGATTGGTAGAATCAACATAGTAAAATGTCTATACTCCCAAAAGTAATCTACATGTTTAATGCAATTCCCATCAAAATTCCAATGACATTCATCAAAGAGATTGAAAAATCTACTGTTAAATTTATATGGAAACACAAGAGGCCACGAATAGCCAAGGCAATACTCAGTCAAAGAACAATGCAGGAGGTATCACAATACCTGACTTCAAACTATATTACAAAACAATAACAATAAAACAGCATGGTACTGGCACAAAACAGACATGAAGACCAGTGGAACAGAATAGAGGATCCAGATATGAAGCCACACAACTATAACAACTTATCTTGACAAAGGAGCTAAAAATATACGATGGAGAAATAGCAGCCTCTTCAACAAAAACTGCTGGGAAAACTGGTTAGCAGTCTGCAAAAAACTGAAACTAGATCCATGTATATCACCCTATACCAAGATTAACTCAAAATGGATCAAGGATCTTAATATCAGACCCAAACTCTTAAGTTGATACAAGAAAGAGTAGGAAATACTCTGGAGTTAGTAGGTATAGGTAAGAACTTTCTCAATGAAACCCAGCAGCACAGCAACTAAGAGATAGCATAGATAAATGGACCTCATAAACTAAAAAGCTTCTGTTCATCAAAAGAAATGGTCTCTAAACTGAAGAGAACACCCACAGAGTGGGAGAAAATATTTGCCACTATACATCAGACAAAGGACTGATAACCAGAATATACAGGGAACTTAAAAAACTAAATTCTCCCAAAACTAATGAACCAATAAAGAAATGGGCAGTGAACTAAACAGAACTTTCTCAAAAGAAGAAATTCAAATGGCCAGAAAACACATGAAAAATGCTCACCATCTCTAGCAATAAAGGAAATGCAAATTAAAACCACACTAAGATTCCACCTCACCCCTGTTAGAATAGCATCATCAGCAACACCACAACAACAGGTGTTGGCGAGGATGCGGGGAAAAAGGAACCCTCTTACACTGTTGGTGGGAATGTAGACTAGTACAACCACTCTGGAAAAAATTTGGAGGCTACTTAAAAAGCTGGACATCGATCTACCATTTGATCCAGCAATACCACTCTTGGGGATATACCCAAAAGACTGTTACTCCAGAGGCACCTGCACACCATGTTTATTGCGCACTATTCACAATAGCCAAGTTATGGAAACAGCCAAGATGCCCCACACTGACGAATGGATTAAGAAAATGTGGTATCTATACACAATGGAATTTTATGCAGCCATGAAGAAGAACGAAATGTTATCATTCGCTGGTAAATGGATGGAATTGGAGAACATCATTCTGAGTGAGGTTAGCCTGGCTCAAAAGACCAAAAATCGTATGTTCTCCCTCATATGTGGACATTAGATCAAGGGCAAACACAACAAGGGGATTGGACTATGAGCACATGATAAAAGCGAGAGCACACAAGGGAGGGGTGAGGATAGGTAAGACACCTAAAAAACTAGCTAGCATTTGTTGCCCTTAATGCAGAGAAACTAAAGCAGATACCTTAAAGCAACTGAGGCCAATAGGAAAAGGGGACCAGGAACTAGAGAAAAGGTTAGATCAAAAAGAATTAACCTAGAAGGTAACACCCACGCACAGGAAATCAATGTGAGTCAATGCCCTGTATAGCTATCCTATCTCAACCAGCAAAACCCCTTGTTCCTTCCTATTATTGCTTATACTCTCTCTACAACAAAATTAGAGATAAGGGCAAAATAGTTTCTGCTGGGTATTGAGGGGGGAGCGGGAGGGGGTGGAGTGGGTGGTAAGGGAGGGGTGGGGGCAGGGGGGAGAAATAAACCAAGCCTTGTATGCACATATGAATAATAAAAGAAAAATGAAAAAAAAAAAAAAAGATAACAGAAAAAGGGAAGGAAAAGAGGGAAGTAAAAGGAAAGAAAGAGAAGGAGGAAATGAATATAGAAAGGAAAAAAGTAATATTTGTTACCACTTGATTATAGATGTGCACTTTATGTAAGTAATAACATTTTAATGATATTCCCAAAGTCTCATACCATTGTATGGAGTATATGGTTTCTGTTTGCATCAATATATGAGGAAAAACTTTTCTTGGTAAATCAGGTCACTGACTTTAATAGTCTCTTACGTCTGAATGCTGTTGTCAGAATTTTCTGGCTAAATGATTGGACAAATCACATAATTATTCCAGGTCTTTCCTAATCTATAAATGAGGGTTATAATACATATTTCCATTTTGAAAATTCAGGATAATGTATAATAAACGGCCAACTAGTACTGTGTCTGTAAAAGTTAGCCATAGCTGGACGCCAGTGTCTCACACCCGTAATCCCACCTACTCAGGAGGCAGAGATCAGGATGTTCAAAGCCAGCCCAGGCAAATAGTTTGCAAGACCTTGTCTCAGAGAAAACCTATCACAAAAAAGGGCTGGCGGAGTGCTCAAGGAGTAAGAGCACCTGTCTAACAAGTGTGAGGGCCCTGAGTTCAAACCCCAGAGCTGCCAAAAAAAGTTAGCAATTATTTTTATTTCAGATGCCTTGAGATACTAATAGCCTTATTAATCATGACATGGTGCATAATTTGTAGCAGCACTATTAAACTTAAAGTTGGAATAA